CCTGGAAATGAACCTCTGACAGCCAAATATAGCCTGCTGAAAAACATCCAATTTGGGCCTGAACTCTCCAAGGCAACTTTCATCTCAACAAATGTGCCCGTACACCCTGGTCAAATCACAAAAAAAAACACAGAAAAAAAAAAAAAAACTACTAGGTTGCAACATCATAGCATATGTACGAAGTTAAACAGATGCACTTTCATTCACCGATAAGTTTTCCTGCACACAGAATCTGACCAGCATCTAAATGGAGTCCCGCAATACTTACTAAACAGCAGTCTTTGTGCAGAGATGGCGCAAATCTCTGGCTTCATTTAGAAATTGTTTATAAAAACTTTACTCCATTCAAAAAACTAGCCACTCCTAATATTGAACTTTACAAACAAAATGTGTTGGGCAGAGCCTGGTGAGGTACTTATTAAATTACGTTTTGTATGATTGCACATTTTATTTCACACTAAAAAGCACTGTATGGAAATTTGCACAAGTAGTGATCACATGGGGGGGGGGGGGGGGGAACCAACCAAACTTATCCTTTAGGATACTTGCACATCAGCTATAAGGCTTGTCAAGATTGCCATAAAAAAGTGCTTATTCTTTGCTATAGGGTTTATTGCGCCACCCACAGGAGTAGTACACTAGGCAGAAAAGAAACTAGACTCCGCATGTAATGGTTGCGCATGCTAGGCACACTGATAGCTGTGTGTGTCAGCCATGTTTGGAGTTCAGCACCAATGAGTGACAGATTCTTATTCCCAACCTCAGGTACATCCCAAAGCAGTGCCAAAAAAGGCAAGGGGTGGGAAAAAAAAGAGCCAAAAGTAGGCCAACTGAAAGATATCCCAAGAGGGAAAAAGATACCTCAAACTGCAGCCTGCAACACTTTGGATGCTCTGGCATTTTCAGTTGATTGTTTTGGCTACACTTTGTAAAACATAGTGAAGGCTTGATGATTTGTGGCCGCCTCTTGGGCGTTGTGCCTAATCAGTGAAGGGAAGGTTCTACAAGAAGTGGTAAAAACCTGAACAACCACCATATGAGCCTCCTCCGCCACCATTTGAGTGGCGTAGGCAGACGCTTCGTTGTCTCATCCACAAAAAAAAAAAAAAAAAAAAAAAAAAAAAAAAGAAGAAGAAACCCCACATCCGGCGAGTAAATACAAAAAAGGCAATGCAGGTTTCTTCTGCTTTAAAAATCCTGCTTGTTCATTTTAAGCTAAAAGCTCCTCTTTAGGGCCAGCTTTTGCGTAACATCCCAGTACAGAGTGAAAACTGGCAGCACCGAGAAACACCGATTAACCCCTGCAGCATCACACCACAATATACATACCTTTCAAAATACAATGGTATATCTTCATGCTTTTAGCATGGTAGGACTCTAACCAACAATCCCGTCCCTCAGAACCTGGCTTTCAATAGCCAAAAATGGTAAATCAGGGTAGATCGGCCCTTGAGACTGAGTTCACACTGAGGTGGTGTGGAAACACTGGGAAACGCACAGGATCCAAACTGCATTGCAATCACATGGCATTCATGGGATCTGGTGCGGATGTCCACGTTAAATAAAATGACACCATGAAAGATGACAGAATGTGATGAGTTTGCTAGAAAATCGCATTGCAAGGGTGAGAACACCCATGTGATGCGATTCAGGTGTGGGTGAGGGGGGGGGGGGGGGGGGGGGGGGGGGGGGCGTGGTGGGTGGGGGTGGGGGGGGAGGGGGGGGGGGGGGGGGGGGGGGGAGAGAGAGAAGGAACATCCTGCAACTTTTTGGTGCAGTTGCAATGTGATTTGAGCCATACAAAAGACACTGCATCCAATTCGCACAGGAATGCAGTGAGATTCCTGTGTGAATTACATGCGGTGACAGAACTTCTGAGACAGCAGCCAGGGGACGTCTGTGACCCACCACACCAGATCTGTGTACCAGGGTCAGCGATGCCAATCTGGAGCCACCAGAAGCCTTTTGGTCTATCCTACACAAGCAAGGTAGAAACTTGGACATGCACGAGACCATATGTCACCATGGCAGCTGTTGCGTCTGCCAAAAGATCCCTTGCCATGAACCTCAGCACCTTCCTGTTGTAACAAAACACTAGAAGATACACATCCAGTGTGCATCTGGATGTGTTTTTAATCAGATTTGTCTGAGGTGGAGACCACTCTACTTAAGCCAACATCCACCTGCTGAGGTAATCGCATGCCAGTTTTACACCTAAAATGTGCACAGCAGATATAGCATGTGGTGTTGCTTCCGCTGAAGAATGCGTGAATCCTCCAGCACCACTGTCACACCTTGGTGGTTGCTGTGGCATTGTCTGGGCAATCAGGCCTAGTCAGGATCCAGTCAAAGTTCCAGAACATAGATCGGCTGTGTGGAGTTCTGGGGTTGAGATGAGCCCAGGGTAGTAGGATGCCTGAGGAGTCTCCACTGCCAGACAGGCTGGCATTTGTAGTGATCACAATCCAATGTAAAAGGAAAGAAACTACTTCCCCCTCCTGAATGTCAGGAGACTGATACCAGTAAATCAGCGATAATCTGGTCCCCAAGGGGATCTATGCGTCCAAGGATATGGAGGACTTGTCCCAACTAAACATTTTCTTCTGCAGGACTCGTGTGGAACTGCAAGTATGGGATCACCACAATTGATGACACCATCTGGCTCAGAACGTGCATGCAAGAGAAGGAGTGAGGACTGCCTGCAGGACAGCAGTAGTCAGAGTGCTGATTGAAGTTTCTGGAGCTTGTCCATAGGAAGGAACACCTTGGCCTACACCCAGTCAAGAGTTAAACCTCAACCAGGAAGCTGGAATATCTGGGTCTAAGAGGATTTCTGGACATTCAGGATCCACCTGAACTCGTCGTGGGGAGATATGCTGAACACAAGCCTACCAGGGGCATCAACTTGAGTCCGCAGTGGTAAGATTTAATTATGGATTGAAATGCTTCAATATACAATTGACATTTTATACTTGTACCTTGATTTTTTGTTTTTAGAACGACTTTTTCCTCCTGAAGAAGCGGAGTTAGTCTGAAACATGTAGAGGCGTCAATGCTTTTCCCGTTTAGGGGTGGAGCTATTAGCGTAGTAAAAAGCATTCCATCAGTCGCAATGTTGTCTCAATATGCATGTTGATGTATGATTGTATAGACCTGTTTGGCAAAAAACTTTTTATGCAAGGACAATAAAGAATATAATTTCTATCTATTGTGCAGTTCAGGGGTACCGGGAAAGTCCATTCTCTTTTTGTAGGGTTTTTTTTTTTATTTCGCCTCTTTGCATTGGATGGAGGAAAATCCACACTTGAGTTCATATGGTAAAGTTGGATTCTGCTGTCCAGACAGCCAATAATTGTAATACCCTGTTGTATCAAATCCAGAACTGGAGTCAACATATTGGTGAAAACCCAAAGGAGCAGAGGTGAGACATCAGTGCCACAGACTGATAATGGACCTTTCCTACTGCAAAGCATATGAAACTAATGCCTAGACCAATGGGAATGTACAGGTATGCATCTTTGGTTCATGGTGGCCTCCCTTCATCAGGATTTCCTGGTCTCTCTAGAAGGAACTTCTGCACCTTCATGAAGCAAAATACATCCTTGAGATTCAAGACTGGTCAAACCATTAGTTCCGTCTTTGGAACCATAAACAGACTGGAGTAAAAACCTCTGAAACCCTTCCAAACTCAGAACTGGAGCAATCACTCCTGGGGCAGCAGATCCTGCACCACCCCTTAGAGAAACAAAGGCTTGAAGAAAAGCACCTCTGGCAGAAAAGATCAAAAATCTATGTTATAACTTGACAGTCAGCTGGTGGACTAATTTTTCAGAAAAGGGCTAAAAAACAGAAAAAGACTACCCCCCCGCACAGGAAAGCCTTCGTACTGAGGACTTCAGGCTGGCTTGGTAGACCAGGGTTGCTTGGTACCACCAGTGGGGGTTCTAGATCCGTGGACAATGGACAGTTTTGCAATGTGTTGCCTTCCCCTTCCTGGACTGTGGAAGAAAAATCTTCCACTGGCCAGACTGGGGTGACTATTGGGTCTATATCAGAGGTGTCAAACTGGCAGCCCTCCAACTGTTGCGAAACATCAAGTCCCCCATCATGCCTGACAGTTAAAAGTAAGACTCCCAAAGGCAATCTTGCAATGCCTCATGGGACTTTTAGTTTGGCAACAGCTGGAATGCACCTGTAGTCTATATTAGAGACTGTTGCGTAGCCCAGCTGTTGAAGATCTCTGCAAGGAAAAACCAGCTAGGGCTGCCCATCAGCAGTGCCAAGATTCTTTTCAGCCTAGTGCCCTACTTCTGTAGGCAGCGCTATAAATCCTATGGTTGAGAAGAAGTTGAGTCAGTCAATGAAGAAAAGAAAAAAGGGAGTTTGTAGGTACGGGAGATCTGGCACTAGTGTGATTAGTATCAAAACGACAAAGCCTACAGGGCAAGCTAATGCACTTGATGCAACGCATAGCATTCAGTGTCAATGCAGCCTACAGACCTTCCCTTTTCTCCTGAGCAGGGTTCAGGTACCATCCTCTCTGATTCAACCATCCACAAAGGGACAGATATGCAAAACTTAAAATCTAGAGCACCAAGATCAGCCGACGCAATTGTAACAGTTCTTGTGCATTTGAGCAGAAAGATTCAGCAGAGTCCAATCCACCTATAGAACTAGCAAAAAAAAACTGAAGAATGTTGGGATTGGGGAGGAGTCATGTTTGGCTGGCACTGACAGTGTCCAATCACCATGAGGTGCAGCATAACCCAACCAACATAACTCCCATGTGTCCTGTGCGATTAGGATGACCCAGTTTCCTGGAACACTAGCAAACTGAGATGTACCGACAGTGAGGGGATATTCTTGGGTGGACTACATTTTGTCAGTGTTTAATCCTCTTGTAGGCAGCAGTATATCCTGAAGGTTAAAAGGCTTCAAATAAACATTTAAAAAAAAAAAAAAAAAAAAAGTGGCAAATATTTACAGATTACAGTACTTACTGTAGTCATATCCTGGCCCATATCCATAATACCCATATCCAGAATAGTCATAGCTGCCATAGCCTCCATAACCTTGCTGGCCATATCCATAGCCTTGATTTCCATAACCCTGACTCCAGTAGTTGTTGTAGCCTTGATTCCAGTTCTGTCCTTGACCTGTAAATCATGGTTTAATACTTTAGAAAAAAAAATCTATTCTAAAAATACAGGCCATTAAGTTTGTAGGGATAGCAAAATTACAACTAAATCAAAACAAAATTTTGCAGTTTACCACTCCTTAGATGTGGTGGCTTTAAGCTTTTCAAGCACCACTTTATTTTCACTTGCAAGCCAATGCTGTCCCAGGGAGGTTATGCCCACCCATTTTGCTGCATCTATGGGAGAAACGCATCAGTTACCCTAGGCTGCTCTATCAATTTTGGATTAACCCATCCTCCCTTCAATTGCCATTACATCGGGAGATATAGATTTACTATATTTTTTTTTTTTTTTTTTTTTTTTTTTAGACCAAGCAGATAGCTGAAAGACTAAGGAAACTGTTTGGAGTTCTGTCAAGCTAGTACTTTTTCAGTGTCCTTGTAACTTGTGCACTAAACAGAAAAATTGGCTTCACCTGGGGACACAAAACTATTGCTGTTTCCACATCCAAGAACCAGTAGGTTCCCTCCGGTTACCTTTGGGATTTATAATTTTTTAATGTACCTTGGGTTTTGAAATCCTATTGTACCTTTGTTAACAAGGAGTTAAAATGTGGTATGCAAGGGGTTAAAAGAACAAGCTTATGGTTACTGTAGCAGGAGTGAGCTTGATATGGTGTTTAATCTACTGAAAGCTTACACACCTTCGAGCATACCTTTCTAACCCTACTACATCCTGAGTTACCTCTTTACCATGCAATGCAGAGTAACTGTGTGGCCTACCCCCTGTAAGCCAAAATAAAGAATTTACAGGCAAGTCAAAAACTTCCTTACCTCAACTGTACAGTACAGGATGGATATTCACTCTGGAACCCCCAAGCAATCAGAAGGATGAGCAACAAGACAAAACAGAACCCAACCACCCAAGAGAACTTTGAGAAGGTGTGAATCGAAGACCAGGTAAATTACCTTACAAAGCTGTACAGGACACTTGATATCTGAATGCCAAGAAACCCCCCACTCTGATGAAGTGAGCAAGCAGGGCACCAGATCCTTTAGCATACAAGCCCCTTACAGTGAATCTTATCCATCTGGCAATAAGTCTGTCAACAGGGTCTTAGGAAACACCGTTCCCATATCTAAGTAATTTTTCATATAGAGGCTTTGGCTTTCAGATACAGACAGCTCTGACCATCTCCTTGAGAAAGATGAAAAAAAAAAATATATGGAAGGCTGATATGAATAAAGCCTCTTATTCGCCAACCATATGGGATCATTTTATCCTTGTGAAGAACACAGAAAGGCTCCTTTATCTCATCTCAAAAACGCAGTCACTTTAAACCCACTGGGAAACTCCTTGGGTGACTTATTCCAAAAGGTTTTCTGCAGGGCAAAGAACCAGACTGAATTCTTAAGCACAGGGTGCTTAATAAAAAGCAAGGCAAGACACACTGAATGTTTCTTTATTTAAAAAAAAAAAAAAAAAAAAAAAAAAAAAAAAAAAAAAAAAGGGAAGCCAAAAGGCTGAGGGAACTTTGACAGGACCACAATTATCCCAAGAGCCAAGTTTTAGTCATATCCTGACTGCAGGAAAGCAGGTACATTAGTAGATTTAAGTGGCTTTTATTACAAGGAATGAGAGTCATATCCCTGTCCTTAAAGACCCAGGCTTCGACACCTTTGAAGCTAGTGACGGAGAAGCAAGATGGTACAAAAAAAAGGCCTTGATAAAAAGTCTGGTCCTTTTTGAGTATCCGATTCTTCAGGACCATTTTGGTGCAATAAGAAACAGGATTTCTTCTCCCCCCATTTTGCAGAGCAGTTGAGAAAGGTGAAGGGACCAGATGGCGACTGAGGAAATCCACCTTCCAAAACAGCCCACTCCTGGCATGTGGATCACATTCCAGCTGGACAGGAGATCAGCTTTGAAAGCAGCAAGTCTGACTTCTTGGTCCTACTGATTAATATATGCCACTTCCATTTTATTGCCGAGTGCCAAGAGGTTGATGGGGAGCTTTACCTCCCCAGGTGGTTTCCCGAATTGTAAGGGAATAAACAGCCCAGACTGAGGATGGCATCTCATTGTTTCAATGAAGGTGGGAGAAACGACTCCCCATTCCCAAAGTTGGATTGGCAAACAAAGCCACGAGTTCCTTACTTGGCTGGAGAGAAGTCTGGGAAAGTTGAGAAGTGTGCTTGTTGAAGGCCAACAAAACGTGTTGTCTTTAGTGGAATTAAAGAGACTTTATAGTTGCCTCATTCTGTATAGCTGTTCCCTAAGACTACTGAAGACCCTCAGGAGGCATGAAACTTTAGAGAAGCTAGTTTTCTTTCCAGCAAGACTTTGGAAAGGTCTAGATATTCCTGTCTAAGGGAAGGCTGGAGGTAAAACTTTGGGGAGTGCACACATCAAAGGGCTATTGGGTTCTTCTGGTCTTTTGGCTGGGTATTCAGACAGTTGTAAGGGGAGAGAAAACCTTCAGAAGGTGAACATCTAGAAATACTTGGTATCCCGAGTTCATAGGACAGGTAGGGGTGAAAGTACATCTGGACTATCCTCTGGACACCAGATGGTCCATATATGATGTTGCTGTATTATCCTTCTCCAGACATGAAGTCTTTGTGGCAAAGACTGGAGGTAGTGCCCAAGTACATTATAAGGGCACTGGACAAAGTTGGCAGTAAGTGTGATCTGTGTTATGATGCAAAACCTACTCATCCACCTGATTATAAAGTTATGAATTGTGGAAACTTTACCCCCAAGCTTTAAAGTACACAGTCCAGAAGTAAATTGTACACACATGTACAAATGGTAGGTGTATTGTAACAGACAATAGCAACAAAAAAATTCTAAAGAAATGCATGTCTAACAAATTATGCACGGATTTGCAAGTTCATGAGTGAAAATAAGTATTTGCTCCCCTTCACAAAACATGACTTCATACTTGTGTGTAAACCTGGTGGCCAACTACAGGAAACGTCTGACCTCTGTATTTGCCAACAAGGATTTGCACCCATCTCAGGAGAGATTTTTGCCTAGTCCTCTTGGCAGATCCTCTCCAAGTCATTAAGGTTTGGTGGCTGACGTTTGGCAACTCGAACTTTCAGCTCCCTCCACAGATTTTCAATTGGATTAAGGTCTGGAGACTGGCTAGGCCACTCCAGGACATTAAAATGTGCTTCTTCTTGAGCCACTCCTTTGTTGCCTTGGCCGTATGTTTTGTGGGCCATTGTCATGCTGGAACACCCATCCACAACCCATTTTCAATGCCCTGGCTGAGGGAAGAAGGTTCTCACCCAAGATTCGACGGTACAGTCTTGTCCCCTTAGCAGAAAAACACCCCCAAAGCAGAATGTTTCCACCACCATGTTTTACAGTTAGGATGGTGTTCTTGGAGTCGTAGGCAGCATTCTTCCTCCAAACACGGCAAGTTGAGTTGATGCCAAAGAGCTTGATTTTGGCCTCATCTGACCACAAGTCCCCCTTCTGCATCATTCAGATGTTCAGTGGCAAACTTCAGACGGGTCTGGACATGTGCTCTGAGTAGAGGGACCTAGCGGGCACTGCAGGATTTCAATCCTTGTCGGCGTGTTACCAATTGTTTTCTTGGTGACTGTGGTCCCAGCTGCCTGCAGATCCTCACGTGTAGCTCTGGGATGATTCCCCACATTTCTATTGTTCATTGACACTCCACGAGGCAAGATCTTGCATGGTGCACCAGGCCTAGGGAGACTGACAGTTGTGTTTCTTCTATTTGCAAATGATTGCACCAACCGTTGTCACCTTCTCACCAAGGTGCTTGGTGATAGTTTGGTAGTCATGTCCAGCCTTGTGTAGGTCTACAATCTTGTCCTTTCCACCATGGGAAAGACCAAAGAGCTGTCCAAGGATGTCGAGTTTGGAATCTGACTGTTTGATTGCTCCTGTGGACAGGTGTCTTTTATACATGTAACAAAATGTGATTAGCAGCACTCCCTTTAAGAGACTGCTTCTAATCTCAGCTTGTTACCTGTATGAAAGACACCTGGTAGCCAGAAATCCTGCTGAATGATAGGGGATCAAATACTTATTTCCCTTCTGAACATGCAAATCAGTGCATAATTTGTTAGACATGCATTTCTTTTGAATTTGTTGCCATTTTGTCTGTTACAATACACCTACCATTCTATTTTTAGACTGATCATTTGTGAGTGGGCAAACATTCAAAATCAGCAGGGGATCAAATACTTATTCCCTTCACTAATACACACGCACACACAGTAAAAAAAAAATATTATAATATATATAAAAATAACACACATGTACAAGTATATTGCCAGTAGTGGAGATGGATCGTAATTTAAGTTGCGCAAACACTGGGTTATCCCATAAGACTAGTTCTGTTGGCTTGGGTGGGGGGGGGGGGGGGAATCAAAAATTTTCGGTCTTACCCTGGTATCCCATCCCAATTTCAGAATAGGCATTGGAGCTTTGGGTAAAAGTGTTATGAACCACGTCCCCCCTAGAGGCCCATTTTTTTTTTTTTGTTTTGCAAAGAAATAAAAGCCGTAAAACAATTAGTCCTGCTGGTCTGTTTGGTCAGTTCCCGCTCTCAGTATGTTACACAGAATGAATCACTCCTCCTTGGGTTCTCCTTGATTCCTTCAATATCAATGTGGTTACACCTCTTAACATTTTTGCATTCCTTGATTGAGTTAAACAATGTTTAGGTAGTATCTCCTGTCATACTTACCCGAGCCCTCATTCAATCCAGATTTGCTCATCTGCAGCAGCTCTCCCCTCATTTCGTCTCACAAGCTTGCTTGAGGCAGCTGCAATCATGGACTCCAGCTGCTATCAAAGCCAGTAACAAGGAAGCAGGAGGCAGCGCTTTAGCAGGGAGCCCACACATGTCCCATAATTAGTGGCTATGGGGGCACGCACCAGAGAAGAGGAGCCACAGGCACGTGGATTGTCCCTTGTCATGTTTGCAATATCAATAAACCCCCCCCAATTTACTGCTCAGCCATTAGATTGCA